CGGCTTCATCATTCTGTGCCTTGGGATCCAACTATGTTGCCATATATTCGTAGTAGTTCCATCGCCAATACGCCGGATAGCTCCTTGGATGATAATATCTCTCCCATCAAGTATAGATCGCCACACCTGAGAAGGATGCGGACCTAGTTGAGCTTCAAGGACTGAACATTGTGGGAAATATGATGCTTTAAGGATTTGTGCACTAAGAGAGGAGGGATCATTCAATAAGCTCCAAATTTGCCGAGACAAAAGTGCCAAGTGAAAAGTTTGGGAGGACTTGGCATGATTCTCTCATGATGCACACCGTCGGACGTATGGGTCTAGCTCCAATTTAAGTACTTGAACTTTTATCACGGCCCATGGCCCACTAGTCGAATGCACCTCTTGTTACCCCGTCACGCTCACGCATGCCCGACGCGGATCAGGAGGAGGCAGACGATATGAGCCGCCTCGACACAGATTCTAGACTAACGCCGGCGCCTTGCATGAACAGTGAACATCCTATGTGTTCACACGGTCTAATTTGTGCATGCATGCATGCTACAGTAGGACAAGCCGTTGAGTGGGCAACAACGCTTTTCCCTTAATAAATCCATGCATGCAAGCCGTATTTATTTATTTAATAATCCCAACGCCCTAACATAACAATGCATGTACGACCGCCAATCAGCTAGACTATCTCATCATTAACAGGTGGAAGCGAACTCATGCGTGGCCCTTAATTATCTGACAGGGATGAAACCACTGAAGATTTAGACTCAGCTTGGCTGAGACTGTGCCCATTGATTCACTGACGCCTCTGAAGCTCCATCTGCCTGAGATGTGCAAATCATGGGCGTCTAAAGATAAAGAGGTAGAGGTGTAAGCTGGCAAGACTGAAGTCAGACTTACCTCTAACGACAGCACCCCGCCTCTTCAGATCCACTGATGAAGAAACCAAATCGATCCATATCACCTCCTCCCTCAAGCTTGTTCCTGATGGTCACAGTTGCGCCTGTGCGATTCAAAATTTGAATCGCAAGGTCACACAGAAGGATTTGGCAACTTTGTCCGGCGTTTTATATCTGAACATTTCATGAAGCACCAATCGAAATTCATGCAGGCAGGGGAACCACACAAAAGATTTTAATCCTACAGCCACGGGCATAAACAGCAAACAGTAAGTACGAAGTAGTTCAGTATGGAGATCCTCAAACAAAGCACAACGAATTGACATCCAGACGATTTACAAACAAGCTCAGTTTATTCTAAAACAACACAACTTATAAGTATTCAGGTACAACACAGCTTCAATTTTTTCATGTGGTGCAGCTCAACATAACAAGTAATTAATCAGATCAACTCTTCAGTCTAAGCTCAGCCGATTTGTGGCAGTTGTTCTGACGATGCCCTTCAACGTCACAATTTTTACATCTTCCTGGCTTACGAGGCTGTTTTGGCACGTCCCCGCGATCAGGGCAGGTTGTCTGACTGTGACCCTGTCCCCGACGAATCGTGCAAAAATGCATTTGTAATTAGATTCACATATGACCCATTAATAGCAGCTTACTCTAACAGAATTCATCCCATTTTTATGCATACAGTTTACAAACATATTTTCTTTATACGCCATATCTTTATTCAGCAGATAATCGTGCAGCCATTCCATGTCCTCGCTTCATGCCACCACACTCTCGTACACCTCCCCCCATAAACTGCCTGCTCTGTTTTCACTTATCTGAACTAGTTTACTCAAAGGGTTCACTGACAGCAAACATGACTACTTATTCAGTCCATACAAGAAACAACCTGCATCCGCGTGCTGAATCCAGTTTCAACAACTGTACTAATCTAGTACAAATTTAGCTAATGTCTACAGGGCGTGGCAGGCGACCATACCTTCGTCTCCATCCTGGGTGAGTGCTCAGATGCTTGTGGCCGGTCTGCACCCTCGCCTGTTCCCACAGCAGTCGCCGAGCAGATGAGCGCTCTGCACTTGATACACTCGCCGTCGGCAACTCCCCGGCCGGCATCGACAGAACAGGATAGCGAAGAGGCTCCATTGGTATGTCGCTGTCATTCACTTCCTCTATCAGCGTTCTACTGCACGAACACACCCACGACAGGAAAATTCAGATCTTGCACGAATTACAAACCCAAATCAATCTAGGGCCGACGAAGCAGACACAAGGGGCAAGAGTCGCACCTGTTGACCGGCTGCAGCAAGAACTCCATGGCGCCGGAGCCGCGTCACCGCAACCCTAAGGGATGGAGCCGCCGCCGCTGAGCCGCTCTTTTGCATTTACTGCACCACAATGACGTCGTTAGCACGCTTGAATCACGGACCAGAAATTCGCTCATGTCTCGAGCCACGGCTCTGACGCCCGTTCTCGACGGCCTCAAATAGCCACGCACTTAAGGTCCACCGTCCAGGAGATTTTTCTCATTTTCCTTCTCATTTCCACGCTGTCTGATGCTCCTGACACCGGCCCCATCTGTCCGACAAAACGAATCACGAAGCTATATTCGGCGGGACAGATTCCGAGAGCCTGTGTGCTCGTGATCAATTCCTCCGTGTTCATTTAATTGGACCTAGACTCCAATCATGAAACACCCTACTCCAGCGGTTATCCACACTACAATTGTCATAAGGTTCCGATGAATTTCGTTGGAACCTACAAGGGAATGGTTAATTCTCAGTGGAGTCCATGTACAGAGCCTTGCTCCAATTCAATGTGCCAGTTCATAATAATAAAAAGATCTGGAAGATGAAAATACCTCTTAAGAATAAAATCTTTACATGGTATCTTCGTCGTAGAGTCATTCTTACTAAAGACAACCTTGTTAAGAGGAATTGACATGGAAATACGTAATGTGTTCTTTCAATGTAAATTGGCTCGTTCTATATGGTCAGTCATCCAAATAGCTTCTGGCTTGTACCCTTCTTGTAGCGTTGCTAATATATTTTGCAACTGGTTACATGGGATTGAACACAAGTTCTCTCATCAGGGCGGGGGCGTTCGCCGTTTTTTGGTCGCTTCTATGTAGAAATGTTAAGGTTTTTAACGGGAAAAGTACATCTCTTATGCATGTTATCTACAGATGTACTGGGACGCTTCGTTTATGGTCGTCTCTTCAGCGTATGGAGAATTGCGGCCTCTTTATGGAGGTCTGTACACGATTGGAGGCTACGATGAGGGTTATTTTACCCAACATGGGTGGCAACATGATCTCAGGATTGGCCTTCCTACGTCTTAGGCGTTATACAAACACTAGATATTTCTTAGTATTTCGTCTTTTTTTGTTTTTTTCTGTGTGTAGACTTATTTTGGCTGTGTGCATTTTAGTATGTAGATGCCGGGTGTAATGCTTAAATCTTTTAAGTAATAAAGCACCTTTTATCGAAAAAATATCATCTTGGGAATTACGAAGTCACCATAGGCGCCTCGTCGTCGACGGAAACGTTTTCTCCCACTGAAAACGCATCGCCAGAAATCCTAAAATAAATGCAGGAATAATGCTAGCACCTAGACTTGAACCCAGGTGGGATGGGAATACCAATGTCCCTCTAACCATCCAACCACAGGTTGGTTCGCTCGGGAGCATTTGGTTACTACGCTTGACAAAGATTGAACACAATGTGGGGAAGCGGATTTGTAGGACCCAGTGCTCCACAACCCTATACCAACATTAAATTTTTAAAAATACCGAGAAATTAAAAAAAATATGAGATTTTGGGATATCAAACCTGGGTCCCCAATCTAGTCCAATATGGAATTCGTGAAAAAATACGAGAAAAGATATCCGTGGCAAAAAGGACAAAAAGCTCTATGTATAGAAAAAACCGTTTGGGTGGATTTTTATTCAGACAATATTTCCTCCCCACGAATATGTTTCCTGATATTTTTTTCACGAAACTTCCACGTGAGTAGATTAAGACCCTAGGTTTGATATTACCCAAATTTTAGTTTTTTTGGTATTTTTTACGTTTAATACTCTATAGGGGTGTGGAGCACGCAGGATCTCCTGTGTATTTTCCCACAACGGGGTGGCTATTTTAGCTCTGGGTGCATATGCTCCCCCAATCCCTAAAATAAATGAAGTAAAAAATAAACTTCAAAAGTTTTGAATTTTTTTTCCTGCAGATTTTCTTGTTAGTGTAACAAGCGTGCTTGAAAATTCCGTTTCTTATGGACCATGAAAAATTTAGTCTTTTTATCATGACAAATCCAATTTGTATATGGATCATGGCAATCTTTTCACTTTGTGCACCATAGCAAATGTAGATTTTGCAGGTAGAATGACAATTTCACTATTAAGACCATGGAAAACATGCATTAACTAGGCATGGCAAAAAAAAATTAGACCATGATATTTTTTTTGTAGGTATCATGGCAATTCTTATTATTCATACTATGGCAATTTTATTAATTAGAACGTGGCAACTTCATTTTTTGCAACATGGCAAATTTTGTTTTCTATGAACCCATGACAAATTAGTTTATGGGGCATGTTGATCATAGTTATTGAGGCATGGCAAATACACATTTATGCACCCTGGCAATTTTTAGTTCACGAACCATGACAAACTTCTTTTCTTTCCAGGACCATGGAAAAAAATTGGACACTGGCAAACTTGTTTTTTAATGTACCATAGAAAATTCACTTCATGTATCATGGCAAATCTTACATTTTTCTAAATATTTCCGTGTTCTTTTATATAACAAAATTTGATATTTTTTAAAATACCAAAAATCCCTCGCTTTTGCCATGCACCCATCACCTATCCAAAAAAGTTGCCATGAATGTTTGGATAACAAAATTCCTTAACTTGTTATTTTTTATTTTATTTGTAGATAGCATAGCATTTTTTTTTCTTCGTACAATGTCAATTGTACAAACATGTTTGTCGAACACGGATTGTCAGCGATCTCAAAATCATTATTTTGTGATTCACTCCAATTATTCCAAACCAAACATGGATTGCAATCACCATAGAACAGATTAGGGGAGTAGTGAATTCAGAGCTTGCTGGTGGAGAGGCTGCCCATGGCCTTGGCCTTGTCCCGGAGCGCGAACTTCTGCACCTTGCCGGTCGCCGTCTTGGGCAGCTCCTCCACCACCACCACCGTCCTCGGCGCCATGTACCGCGGCAGTCTGCCCCGGCAGAACGCCACCACCTCCTCCGGCTCCACCCTCTCCCCCTTCTTGGCCACGACGAACGCGCACGGCGTCTCGCCCCAGTGCTCGTCCGGCCGGCCCACGACGGCCGCCTCCGCCACGGCCGGGTGCGCGAACAGCGCCGCCTCCACCTCGATGGTGCTGATGTTCTCCCCGCCGGAGATGATGATGTCCTTGGACCGGTCCCTGATCTTCACGTACCCGTCCCCGGGGACCCGCACCGCCAGGTCGCCCGACCGGAACCACCCGCCGGCAAGCGCTTCCGCCGTGGCGGCCGCGTCCTTGTAGTACCCGCTCATCACCGTGTTGCCCCGGAACATCACCTCCCCCATCGTGGCCCCGTCGGCGGGCACGCTGCGCATGGTGGCGGGGTCCTTGACGTCCACCTCCAGGCCCAGGTGGTGCAGCCCCTGCCGCGACTTGATCGCCGCCCGCTCGTCCGCCGGCAGCGCGTCCCACTCGGGCTTCCACGTGCACACCGTGGCCGGGCCGTACGTCTCCGTCAGCCCGTACGAGTGGATCACCAGGAACCCCAGCTCCTCCATCCGGAACAGCACGGCCGGCGGCGGGGGCGCGCCGCCGGTCATCACGGCCACCTTCCTCCCCGCCGGCAGCGGCCGCCTCTCCTCCGGCGCGGCGTGCACGATCATGCCCAGCACCGTCGGCGCGCCGCCCATGTGGGTGACCCCGTGCCGGGAGACGGCGTCGAAGATGGCCGCGCCGGTGACCTTGCGGAGGCAGACGTTGGTGCCGCCCTGCGCCGCCACGCCCCACGCCATGCACCAGCCGTTGCAGTGGAACATGGGAACCGTCCAGAGGTACACCGGCATGGACGGCATGTCGTTGAGCAGCACCGAGGCGAGGCTGTTGAGGTAGGCGCCGCGGTGGGTGTAGATCACGCCCTTGGGCCGCGACGTCGTCCCCGACGTGTAGTTGAGCGCGATCGGCTCGTTCTCGTCCTCCGGCCACCGGACCGCGAACTCCGGCGACCCGCCCCCGCTCACCAGAGCCTCGTACTCGTACACGGTACCCGTCGCACCAGAAAAAGAAGATGTTGATCCGTCGTCGCAGCCGTCGAGCAGCTCTCTGATGAGGACGACGGCGGGGGGCGTGGCGCCGGCGTCGGACAGGAGGCGGAGGGCCTCCCGCGCGACGCCGAGCAGCGCGGCGTCGACGAAGAGGACCCTGGCCTCCGAGTGGCGCAGCAGGACGGAGGCCATGGCGGCGTCGAGGCGCGAGTTGAGCGCGCAGATGACGGCCCCCGCCATGGGCACGGCGAAGTGCAGCTCGCACATCGCCGGGACGTTCTGCGCGAACACGGCGACCTGCCATCAAACGGCACAAGGCACAGCCGGTCAGAACCATTCGATCGCAGCGAATCAGAACCGGTCCGGGACGAATCGGTCCCGGCAAGAAGGATTTTTCAGCAGGTCGCGCGAGCACGCGCGAAAGATGACGATTTTTGGAGGAAAAAATCAAAGTACGGTTGACTGTTGCGATGACGACGGAGAGCAGGGGATGAGCAAGAGTTTTTCATGCTAAGGACAACGGAGTTGGCTGATTGCCAGCGGCGGTGTCTGGTCTGTCTGGATCTTACTTACCACGTGGCGGCGCTGGACGCCGAGGCCGGCGAGCGCGGCGGCGAGGCGGAGGCAGCGGGCCCGGGTCTCCCGCCACGTCCTGGGCGGCGCGTCTCCGGCGGCGGCCACGACGGCGGGGCGGTCCGGGTAGACGAGCGCGGACCGCTCAAGGAAGGAGAGGGGCGTGAGCGGCGCGTGGTTGGCGGCGCAGAGCACGGCGCCCTCCATCGTCTCCCGGCCCGTCGGCGGCGAGCTAGCACACGGCGAGGTTCGTGAGCAGGGAGGGAGGCTCGTGGGGCTCGTGGTGGGTTTGTTTTTGGTTTTGGGCTTCGGTGAGGCGAATACAATACTGCCGCTGATGCTCATATCGAGTGGAGCAGAGCGTGCGTGCGTGCGTGCTGCCGCACTCACCGTCAGCGTCATCTTGTCGTATCTGCACGGAAAACGGCTGGCCCGTGCGGACCCCGCCGCCCATCGTGACAAGGATCGACGGAGGAGCGATGACAGAACCAAAAGTCTTCTGAAATGGAACAGTTCCAACAGCAGGCGGCCACCTCGAAGTGGCAAAGCCATTTGTCAGACGCAACTCTAAAAGGAACGTAGTATTACTGCTCTATTTGGATCTGTAGTATAGTAGTATCCATCATCGCTCGTCGCGGGAGAAGAGGGGCCGGTGCAGGGCGGCGGCGTCCCGGCCATGTGCGGGCTTAAATAGGACAGACGGTCAGTGATCATCCATCTGACCCGCCGTGGTTGCAACTTCCAACCAACGAGAAAACCGCAACGCGTGCTCTCGTGTTTCCTCTCCACTCTTTTCGCGTTTTGCTTGATGCGGCTCGCTTCCTGTACAGCGGCGACAACGAACGAAAGAAGCAGCGAAGGAAGGCGTGGTGCCTTCTGAATCCAGCAGGCTGCACTGCAACCACACGCATGATAAATACTTACACGGAAAGCTCGATATGAAGCTCGAATGGCACGACCAGTGTGGTTCATTCACGCATCACTTCTCCTCAATATCTGGAATATGAATGCAAAAGGAAAACGCCGTGTGTAAACAAACAGAAACCACCAGCAGCGCCATATATATACTCTGAGCGCCGCGAAATTACGCTCAACAGTTAGCAACAAACAACGGGCTTCTCTTCTCCCGGGGCAACGGGATTCAGGCACCTGGGGGATCATGAGGAGGCCGGCTTCAGATCCATCTCCACCTGGTGGATCGTCCACTGCATGCCCTCCAATTTCTAGGGTTCGGGATCATCAGGTCAGCGAAAAGGTCCATCGAGCGCGCTGCATACGGTACTTAACGGCGATGGAAATGAAACAGCATTACCTTCACGATCTCATGGTACTGCCTCGCAATCACGTCGAAGTGCGGGTCTACGCCTTGGTACTCGCGGAGACGTGAGACCTGACATGGGGATCAAACACCAAACATGACCGTTAGACGAATAAAAGTGAACACTGGAAGATGGTCTTCTTATCGGATTAAGTGGATCCTAAATTCTCCGAGATGCCATACTTTATTTCTCTCAAGTCTAAACACACAGATAAAGCTGATGACTGTACAACAGTATACATCCTCTAAGCATTTCACATCTCTGGATATTAGGTAGGGTGAACTAAACTTGTCAGAGTTCTCAGTGCACCCCAAGAAACTCAACACTGACTGATCACATGATACTACTACAGGACGCCTAGCTCTTACCTTCACACGACTTACAAGGACACACATCATTCAATTTCCCGCAGGATGGACACTGATAGATGTTCCTTGGCCACTAGCCCCTCTGACATGCTCGAAAGCAGCTGCTAATATTGCCTCTTGTAACTCCCATGCTCTTTGTGAGCTTACGTCGAGATTTACTGAAGGTGTGTGAACAGGCTCCGAGGTTTCACTCACATGGCTAAATGAGTTACTCGTATAACATAACAGGAAGTACGCTAGACTTGCTGGATTTTAACCAGTGATATATCAGTGACAACGACCGCACTATACCATTATTGTAAGAAGCTATGAGCTAACCATCCATTAGCCTAAATAAAAAACAATCATAGCTAAAACCTTTCGAACAACATTGTGCAAATATGAAAGGGATTCATTGACGAATGATGTTTGCTACCAATAACCAAACATTTGAAAGGCAACAGAGAGTAAGGTGTTGTATCATACCGCTTCATTATAGGAATTGGATGCTTCTTTCGTTGCCTCCACAAGATATTTCCTGCAATAAACAGTAAATCGGATAAGGTGGTTGCTTACTACAGAGAAAAAACCTACACATTTTCCATGTTAGAAATAATAAGTGCTGCTTCCCTCAATGATAAGATTAGTTTAAAGATACATTAAGTTGGATGTACCTGATTCTATGCAATGCAGGTACTGTTTCCTTCGTGTAGGTGTCACGCAAGAGATGGTGCTCCAGGTAGCTAGAACACAAAGGAAAGAAAAAAAAATACAGTTCATTCAGTCTTCTGAACCTATCACTGATTATAGAAAAAAATACATAAAGGCAGAGAGATTCAAAGCTCAATGGGTTTTTTCTAGCAAGAGCTTATATCATGCTGTTCAATTATGCTTAACGCGATACAGATTAATATCAGCTTACTGAAAACTGAAAAGTTACACACTAGTCCAACATTAAGGTGCCGACAAGTCAGGTGCCAACCTTAGTTTAGCATTCATAGTACGGCATCTTTTAATAAGCCAGGTCTTCTTCACATCATCCTGTTAGGCCATACATAGAAAGCCAACAGACGTCAAGAAATAGTACTAACCCCATTAATAAGTACCAGTATAAAAGGAGCATGAAAAAGCCTTACATATTGGTGCTGGTGTTCTAACTTCTTGTCTTTAACAAACTGTATAAGTACAGCAAGAATTTGCTCCAGGACCTTCGAAGTTTGAACAGCCACAAATATTTTGACAGATTTCAGCGAATGAATTTGCATTAAATAAAATGGACTAGCCACCAGAGTTATGTTTAAGAAATTTGTCTGCCTATGAAGACTCACATTATAGTGCTCAGCAAATTTCCTGTCCATCGAAGCAAGATCCTCCAGTAGAAGGGACTCTTCCTTTTCTATTCCTTCGATAATTAATTTCACCCTGCCCAAGGAGAAAAGGGAACTAAGATAGGTGTCTATAAGGAACTCCCAGTTAATCTTTAATTCCAAACAAGAAAGGTGAACAACTGGGCATTGTCACCAAGAAGTTAACTATATAAATGATGGGGCTGTCCAAAGAGAAGAGATGACACCAGTACTATAAAAAAAGGTCTAAAAATCGATGTAAGATGTTACAAGAAAACCGATGATAGTTTCTTCAGAAATTACACCTGGCCAAAGAAAACTTGGTTGTGTAAAACAACAATCATAAGAGAGAATAAGATGGGAAGATAATCACCTTTCTGGAAGCCTGGCACTTGAAATCTGATTGATGGATGACGAATCTGCAACATATTCAAATGTTATGATAAGAGAAGGTCAAAACTTATAGATCATAAAAACCGATATCTGAACGTCCATGAGATTCAGTATTTCATCAGTAACTGACCCCTTTCATCCATTGCAAAAAGATCAGCTAAAGCGTCACACTTAGCTTCTAACCGAGCCTCAATCGCTCTTGCCACAGATCTCTGATACTCGACCATGTCCTGCAATGTCAAATCACGGGTGGATTCTTTCAAACTTAAAACCACAATGTATTTCTTTCACTTTCCAAACTAAGCACTCACAGTTTCACAATTCCACGAAGAGCATACATGAATTACACAACACTTAAACAAATTGTGAAATCACTTGGTGATAGTTCAGAAAATAACTTAGACTGCGAGAGCTTCAAGGATTTTACATACCACAGTCATGGCTGGCTGCTGTTGCTGCACCTGGTAGAGATAATCTGATGTTATCCCAAGAAAGCGATCAGGAACACCACCTGCCCCGGGCTCAACCAGCTCCGAACCACCACCACCAGCGGCAGCGGCAGCAGTCAACGCACTACCGGTGCTGCCATAGTTATTGTAGTTAGTCGAGATTGAGGTTGAGCTTGGCGTGGCACTTGTTACGGTACTGTCAAATGAAACCCTTGACAAGGTGCTCAGCTTTTCTATCTCCTCCTCATGCACCTCCCCGTCCTGCGAGAGCAGTGGGAGCCTCAACCTCTGGGCCGCCTCGGCGACCGCCAAATGGTGCTCCAAGGACTCGTAGACCTGAATCATTCCCAGCAAAGTAAGTACGCTAAACCACCACGTTCCATTTTTATTTATTTTTGCCAGGTAATTTCTGGATCACCACCCAAATTGATCAGATAAGCAGAAAACATTTCCTACTGTACTTCTTTAACCAGTTCGATCCACATTTCCTAGCCCTATCTGCACGAATCACCGGACAGGTGCGAACATTTTCAGAGACTGGGAGAAGCTGAACCTACCTCCGGGGAGCAGTTGAGCTTCTTGGCGGCACCGGCGCTGCCCGCGGCGGTCGCGTGCTGGTACTCCTCCACCATGGCCATCGCCTCCGCGTACACCGCCTACGGAATAGTCTTATCAGATCTGATCAGAACCGCGCGAATTCTAGATCGGGCGAGCGGGCGGGGGGCAAAACTCACCAGGGCCTCGAGGTAGCGGGCGCGCTCCGCCGCGACCTCCTCGCGCGCCTGCAGGTGCAGAACACGGGATCAGCGGTGCGAGAGAGAGGTGGGTGGTGCCGGCGCGACGTACCTGGAGGAGGTCGGAGTGGGCGGAGCTGGAGAGGAGGGAGGCGTCCGGGGCGAGGTGATGGCGCTGGAGCTGCTCCACCAGGTGGGCCACCTCGGGCGGCGGTGGCGGGAGGGACGCCGCCGCTGCGGCGGCTGCGGCGGCCTTGGACATCGCGGGCGGCAGCTCCGGCGGAGGCTTCCACGAGTTGGATTCGAACTGGTGGGAATGGCTGGTGGATTCGTCAGGTCGAGGAAGCCCGCAGCCGTTGGATCGGACAGGGACGGACGAGATCGACCGGGGTTGCGGCCGGCCGGCCGGCCGGCTTATCACGAAATGGGTTCAATTTTGAATTTCAGAGGCGCTGCTGCGAGATGTCTATGCAGGCAGGAATGCTAGTGCTAGCACTAGAAATACGAAAACACATGAATGATAGGAAACATGGAATCAAATATCACGACATATATTCTAAGCCACCGGAAAATTTTCATGTGTATGCGTGGACGTGTGTGGGATACTAAGAGCCCGTTTGGAAGCTCTCCAGCTTCCGAAACGAGCCAGCTTCTCGCGGAAGCTGGGCCTGGTGGCTTCTCGCGGGAGCTGGCCTGTTGGCTTCTTGCGTTCGTCAGGGCGAGCTGGCTTCTCGCGGGAGAAAACGGTTCGAGGGTCGGTCACGAGAGAAAACGGTTCGAGCGTCCGCTTCGAGAGGGCAATCGAGTGTAATTTCCTACAACTCATACTTCTCGTTTTTTCGAAGCTGGGCTGGGGCTGCTCCCAAAAATTGCACTGCCTGCTGCTCGTTCTCCAGGAGCCAGATTCTCGGAGCGCTTCCGTTCGGCTGGCTTCTCGCGGGCTTCTCGGGAAGTTGGAAGCCAGCAGACATCCGAACGGGTCCTAAGGGCATTTATAGAGGCAGTGCTAGTTATCAATTTTCGGTAATTTTAAAGAGCGCATGTTTGTTGTGGGGACTTTCCAACACGATTCCTTGTGCACCGTTGGATTTCGGCTTCTGGTCAGCGCACACATGATACGATGAAAAAGTGACACCGTCGCGTTATGACGTAAACACTTGACAGCAACGTCACGCCATGATGATGTCCTTGATTTTCCAGACTATCACATGAAATCGACAAATAAATAGTCGTGTTCTATTTCGGCTCTACAAGAATTATTAGCAAAGGTAACAAGGTCGACTCAACCGTCTCTTTGGTTAAGAGATTGAGTCTTACTATCTCTTGGGTTCACTTTCTTTCTCATTAGTCATTATTCTTCAAACAAGATTTGGGCAAGGAACATCGGTGCGGATTGTAGATGACCTAACACAAGAACTCCATGAATACTTATTTGTTTATTTTTGCGTAGGTCGGAAATCAGAATATTGAATTGAGTCTAAGCCTTATAAGAACATTCATATGAAAAAAAGTTACAAATAAGCCCAAGGAAAATGCATTCTCGTCTTCAACCTGCACAAGATGATGGCACACCGTTAGCCTAGCTCAATGCCGAAGCCACCTTAATTGCCGTCTAGCAAGTCACCAAACATTATCACAAAACGACGCCAACATCGATAATCCAAAGCATGAATTGTCGATTTGGAGAAGAAGACGAAGGTTGGAAGAGGAGACCCAACCTCGCGCCAAAGCCAAAATAATCGCTGTATGATTTTTTAGGCTCCATGTTGTCCATTTTCAGTCTTGATTTTAGGAGTAACCAGTTGCGCACTAGGCAATAATCAATCATGCAAAGTTGTTGTGTAGACTAAATCCTTTGTTTTCTCTGCTAGATGAAAATTATTTGAAAGTGTCGCTCAAAGTTAGAATACATAGGGCTAAATTGATCTGTTAAGACAACCAAAGAATAAAAATCTGTGAAGAACATAAAGACATTACGTAGGTGTATGAGACAATTTCTTGACAAATCGGTCGATTTCGGGTTTCTTGAGTTTGACTTTCCGGGTTGGAATGAGTACCCTCCCGCCCTCCCCAGTTAATAGTGGGCTTAAGATGTAATCATGATGTCATGTATGGTTCATAGTGGGCGTAGGATGTAATCATGTCATGTATTATAATCTGTCTGGGTGCTTTACAAACCACTCATATATTTATAGACTTTATACCAATTAAATATAGGTGGTGGTCATAGGCAGTATATCATTAGATTTGTATTTAAAAACTTTTCTCTGGCGGTCATGATGCACCCGGGTGACTGCGGGGACTTCACGATATACTGCCTGACCGTGCTCCTACCACCACCCGAGTAAAGGCATAATGAGGAATACACATAGCGGCCTCTTATTTTTTTTAGCCCCACTTAGCTCAAATATGTCGTTGATATCATGCTGCAAAGTAGAT